AGGCGGGGGCAACAAATTCTTAAAGACGGCAGTCATGCTTCATGGGCTAGCGACTTACTTGACTACCAACATCTTGGCCACTGGATCATACGTCCGGCATCAAAGCACCAACTAATGCATGCCCCGCCTCTACATTAGAAAAAATCGGCACCCCATCAATGTACAGCAAAACGAAAACTCGAAAAATATTTTCTATATTTTTTCCTTTTCATTTTGTAATTTTTTATTATCTCCGTTACCATGATAAGCAACGAGCCTTTTCTTTTCTTCGGAGACGACTGCGTTTTTCTTCTCCGGTCCAGCAATGATTCTCTCGAGGGCATCGGATATCTCGTCTTTGCTTATTTCCTTGAGGTCACGCCTTGCTGCAAAAATGGCTGCCTCGTTCATTAGGTTCTGTAAATCAGCACCGGTGAAACCTGGTGTTCTTCTAGCTATCTTTTCGAAATCGACATCCTTTGCAAGCGCCTTTCCTCTCGAATGCACCTGCACATACGTGTAACGATCATTGCTTTGTCGTTAACACTACAGTACACAAATGTTTAAGCAATAACAGAGCACTAAAATCACCAAAAAAGATACCTGAAGAATCTTGATTCTACCAGCAACATCCGGCCTGTCAACAGTAACCTGTCTATCGAATCTCCCAGGCCTGAGCAAAGCCGAATCAAGAACATCCGGTCTATTAGTAGCCGCCAGCACAATAACACCGGAATTACCCGAAAACCCGTCCATTTCAGTCAAGAGCTGATTAATCGTCTGCTCTCTCTCATCATTCCCTCCGCCCATCCCGGCCCCTCTCTGCCTCCCCACAGCATCAATCTCATCAATAAACACAATGCAAGGAGCTTTCGCCTTTGCCTTCTCGAACAGATCCCTCACTCTCGAAGCTCCAACACCTACAAAAAGCTCCACAAATTCCGACGCCGCACAGGAAAAGAACGGTACACCAGCTTCGCCGGAAACCGCCCTCGCCAGGAGGGTTTTTCCTGTACCAGGTGGGCCCACCAGGAGGCAGCCTTTCGGGATCTTCGCGCCCAGGGCGGTGTACTTATCAGGGTTTTTCAAGAAATCGACCACTTCTTGCAGTTCTAGCTTGGCTTGGTCGGCACCTGCCACGTCGGCGAATGTGACTCCGGTTTCGGGGACTTCCTGGAACTTGGACTTGGACCGGCCGAACTCCATCGGCCCACCTAGACCCCCCGGACCGCCGCCGGGCCCACCTTGTGCACGTTGAAAGAGGAAGAAAAGCCCGGCGAAGGCGAGGATCGGGAAGAACAGATTACCGATGATACTAAACAGGCCGTTTTCCGATTCGCCCTCGGAGACGGAAATATCGACGCCGTTCATGGCCAGAATGTCGATCAAGTCCGGGTCGTTGGGGACGACGACGGCGGCGCGGCGGCCATCGACGGCGGTGAGCTGGAGCGTGCTTCCTTCTTTGCTGAACCTCACTCGCTCGACTTTGCCCTTCTTCACCGCGTTCAGGAACTCACTGTAGCGCCACTGGCTGCCCTCGGGGAGATCGGAATTGGACTGGGCCTGTGGTTTCGGAGCATTCAGTACCAGATTCTGAGCAACGGGCGATGATTGGACAGCCTTCTGGGCTTCGATTTCGATCACTTGGGGAGCGGGCGGTGGAGAATTGTCCAACGCGAACGCTTGCGGAGTGATTGAGGAGAAAAGGAGAGCAGCTAGAGCTGCGTGATTCGTGATGTTGTTGTTGTTGCTCTTCGTCGATTTGTCTGAAATTATTCTCCTGTTGAGAATCGATTGAGGGAGGAGGAATCTTCTGGGGAGTGTGGTGGTTTTGGGGGTGGGTGGAGAGATGAAGATTTGGGCGCCGAAGAAGTTGGAGGAGAGCAGAGGTTTTGTTGTTAATGGCGACGACGCCATTAGATTTCGATTTTCGAAGGTTCGATTTGAAATTACGTGATGAATGAATGAATGAAGAATTGGTTTAAAGAGAGATGGGGGAAAGTGTTGAAGATTGAATGGAAGCCATTAATTTGAATGTTGCTTGGATTAGCTCTACGTGTGCCTACTATTATCCAGTCATGCTTTCCTCTGCTGTTTTTTTTTTGAGTTAATATGCTATGAGCCCCTCAAACGAAACCGAATTTGAACTAAATGACAAGTTCAAATTCATTTTTTTAATTAAATCCTTAATTTCAAATAATATATGGGCCACATCCCTAACTTTTTTTTTATCCCTATATTGCCCTTATACCCTAAATTATATAACCTACATATATTCACGGATCTCCAATTCAGATTATTTCGTTTTTTAGTTTCTCTCACGTTCTCTCTCTCTCTCTCTTCCCCCATCTCTCACACGATCTGCGGATCTTTTTTCAATTCCAGATCTTTTTTCAGTTCCGTTTTTTTTTCTCGCTCTCTCTCTCTCACCTCTCCATCCCCATACACCTTTCTTGCTAATTAATTCAGTAGTAGCCGATCCAGGGGTTGTGGTGGAAAGGGAGGCGGCAGGCTGTGGTGGTTGAGATGGCGGCGAGGGGTTGTGGTAGTCGAGGCGGCGGCGAGGGCTCTATGGTGGTTGAGTCGGCATCGGTGATTTGTGGTGGTCTAGGCGGCGGGCTGTGGTGGTCGGGATGGCGGCGGGGCTGTGGAGGAGGAGGCGGCGGTGGCGGGCTGTGGTGGTCAAGCCGGCGGGCTCTGGTGGTCGAGATGGCGGCGAGGGGTTGTTGTGGTTGTGGCGGCGGGATGTGGTTAATTATGGTGGAGATTTGTTCTTGATCTTCAAGAGATTTTGTTTGATTTGGGTTCAAAATCGTAAATCTGGTTTTCCCAAAATTCGTAGGTGACTATGGTTGCAGACGTTGGCGGCGGCTAGGGTTTGACGGATAGGGTTGGCGAGGATTGTGTGTTTGTTGGCTGCTAGGGTTTGATAGTACACCGTAGTAGACCATAGTGGACTGTAGTATACCACAGTCTACTATAATATTACACAAATAAAATATATATATATATATATATATATATATATATATATATATATATATATATATAGATTGAATTAACAAAAACGAAAAACGAGTTTTGTTTTGTAATTTTCAATAATATTGTAGATTTTTTTTAATAATAGTGTAAAAACGATAGTACACCATAGTACAACATAGTACACCATAGTATACCATAGTATTTTTAAAATTTGCTGAATTATTTAACAAAAAAGAAGAAAAAAAAAACGTAAGCTTCAAAAAAATGTTATAAATAAGGAAAAAAAATTGTTTATATATAATAACGTAAAAAATCTAGAGTGAAAATTGAAAAAATAAAGATGAGTGAAAGGGCATTTTTGGAATAAATTTAATAAAGGATGTGAAGCAAATGTTTAGTTGAGCTTGTCATTTAGTTCTAATTAGTTTTGTCATCAGGGACTTATATCTTAAGAGCCCTTTTTTTTTTGGGTGTTACTATTTGCAGCGGGACTTTTACTGAAATTGGCTTATTTGCAGCGGTACCTTTTTCATTTAATTTTTTTTTTTCAATTTCTCTTTCCTATTCCAAACACTCTCTAGAAATTCGAATTTCGTAAAAAAAATTGAAT